ATAATTGCAAATATGCAAGCCATGATTGAAGAAACATCATTCAAACTGGAAAGCTACAAATGCGCAAAAGACGAATCAAAGTGAAGAATGAACGCCATTTCAGTATTACCTCTAGTAAACAACTCAAATGGTAACTAAAAAAGCCAAATGGACAGGTTAAGAAGTAATATCAATCCACTTAAACAAATAACAAAATCAACTAAACAAGATTTATCTTGATTCAGAAAAAATACCATAAATATTATAAATTAAATGAAAATCAATGAATTGAATCAACTGGGAGTAAGGCAGAAGAATACGACGGTAACTGGGAGTAAGGCAGAAGAATACGACGGTAGCATGTAGAGAGCCTTTCAATGCAACAAAAAACTATGGAAAGAAAAACATCATGGAGAAGATAACAAGTAATTATAATGACATCCTCAGAGACAAGTATATAGCTACACAATTTCTACTAATAATAAATCAAAAACATCAATGACAGTAACAATAATACTAGGATTACTGTATACATTTTTTACTGTACATTCAGGGATGATGCAATTGGAAAGGGAGTAAACCTGAGCCCTGATTGAGGAGCTTTCAAGCATGAAATTATAGGAAGGATAAATCAAATGAATGCAAAGTGATCAGGAAAACACAATTACAAATCAAGAATCATAAAAACATACGAGAAAACAAAAACGGGAAGATGGTTCTCAATTTTTCAGATAGACTATGGAAGATGGAAATTTGAAATGAAAATTGAAAGTTAATACCTTATCAGCGAGTACCTCCCCTGTGAGCTTTAACCTCGCTCACTGTGATACCTCTCTCTCTAGAATAATGCAGGGTAAGTAAACCCTAAACCCTCTCTCTCCCTCTCTCTCAAAATGCCTGATCAACCCTAAACCCGCTCTCCCGCTATTGTGGTCTCGGGCTTTATAGAAACGCTCTTAGATTCATTTTCGTATAGGGAGTATAATATGATCCATATGACCACAATAACCGCGGACCACGGAGTCGTAACCGTCCAACTGATGGGTTGGACGATGATGGAGTGAAAGCTAGTCCAATCGATTCTTGATGGTGATTACTGTTAAGACCACATTCTTAGAGGCAATCATGTGGATCATAATAGACTTCCTCGAGGAATTACATTGTGCTCCTCTTTGTGACATGATATAGGGTAATCTCCGTCAAATTAGTGGTTTGAACGTTGATGAAGAGGATTCGGCTTCTCACGTTTGGGTAGGTCTCACTCTCACTATCACTGTTCAACCTATTGACGTACGGTGATGAGATACAGTTTTTGAATGCTTTCTAGGAATCACAAAATATCTCGAACATTCGAATGGGGAATATTTATTATTGGATTTTATTAGGCTACTCACTTCTTTTAATAGGGTGCCGTTTGTATAGAGCATAGGCTCTAAACAATAAAATTAGAACCTACCTTCAATTAGTGTTGATACATGTGGTTTTAATACTGAAAATCATTGTGATAGCCTTAAAATATATTTTCATCTTTATTTATACAATTTAAAGCTTTAAAAATAGTGTAGATCGACATATCTATGAAAACTTGAAAATTGATGGTCCAAAAATGCGTTATAAAATACATTATTTCCAAAATTTGAAATCCATTTTTTTCTCATATCCATACATCTTGATGTCGAGCTGATCAATTTTAGGATATTTGAGCATTAAAACAACCTCTTATAGTGAATTTTTTGGGGCAGGCTCCAATTTGATTGTTTAGAGCCTCAGCTCTATATAAATTGTTATCTTTTGAATATCATCTATACTTGCTCAATATGGTTTTGCATGAAACTTTTTTTTCTTGATGAGTAACTTTTGTTTAGAGGTATTTTAGGTAATTAATTATTGTTGGGTATAAATAAAAAGGACTTGGTTTTTATGCGGCCAAGCCCGCATATATAAAAATGCTCGCCTTTTAATGAATCTATTTTTGAGATGGATTTGAAGACTTAATTTTTAAGGACATGTAATCTAACATGGAGATCATGAATATAAAAAATAAATAAATTTTAAAAAATATAAATAATAATTCTACTAAGAAAACATTTGGACCGTTAGTTTCCATTATTTTTAGAAGGAACACCTACTTACATCCATCTTTTAAGATAGATGCTTTATACTTTCTGGACTACATATGTAGAAATGTGGTCTAACCCGCATGAAACAATTTTTCAAATAAAAATTTTATAAGATAATATTATTTGATTGACTATTATTAATTATTACCAAAATCTTACGTCCGTTAAAAAAAAAATTAAATTAAATTATTTAGGTAGGGTGTAACATCGTTTACATGGAGTATTAATTATGTTTCGACAACTAAATGAATAACATTATCATATTCTCAAAACATCTAAAAATCTAAGTAGGCTACTCACGGGCGCACAACACCTGCACACGTGCTATGCATTGTACGTAGATGCACTATTCAACCTCAACGTACATTTCTGGCCCTCGATTGTTTATGAATAGGTTGTGAAGCTCTTCATTAAGAGCCCGTTTGGACGTCCTAGTAGAAATGGAACACTTTTATCTTTAGCTACCCATGAGGGCTTCCCTGTACATAGCCACCAAAGAATGTAGGTAACCAGCTCCAATTGGGATTGTCTACAAAGATACCATTTATCTTTAGATGCAGTTTGTATGGGCCGAGGCTCTAAACAATCAAAGTAAATACGTAAATCGCACCTTCAAATAGTGTCGAGAAATGTGGTTTCAATATCGGAAATCTTTGTGATAGCCTTAAAATATATTTTCATCTTTAATTCTAAAATTTAAAGTGTCAAAAATAATGTAAATCGAGCAGATTTGTGAAAATCTTGAAACTTAATGGTGCACTATTTCCAAAACTTAAAATCCATTTTTTTCTCATTTCCATACATCTTGATGGCGAGATGATCAATTTGAGGATATTTAGGCATCAAAACAACCTCTTATAGTGAAATTTTTGTGGTGGGCTTTAATTTGATTGTTTAGAGCCTATGCTCTATATAAACTTTTTCTTTTATATTTTATACATGGAAGTTACAATCATTCACAATCATTAGATGTCAAATTAGACAGCTTGGGGTGAGTCACCAAGTATGAAAATTATTTGTTTTTAAATTTTGTGTCTATGTAATGACACTCTTACAACCATCCATTTTGAAATTTAAAGGATAATAATGATTGTTACCTCCATGTATAAAACATAAATGATTTTTTTATCGACAATCCCGCTCTAATTTTATCTTAATTTTTCAGCTTAAATGGCAAAATGCACTCTTTTTCTTCTTACCAAAAAAAACCAAAAGCCCAATATTGGTGGCATTTTCCATAAACATTTGTTCCCCTGTGCTCATAATAGTGGCAATCTGCATATTTATGCACAAAACTAGTGCATATTTATTGTCATGGCCATCCCAATGGTAACCATGTTGATTGGAAATTATGCTCAATTTTCACCAAAGAACTCGAATATTAGTGCAAATAAAATAGGCATTGGATGAAGGGTGTGATTTGTATAAGGTTGCAACCTTAAACAATTAAGGTTAGGTGTACCTCCAAATTTTGTGATAAATACAACATTGTTTTCAAAATTTATTAGGATGGTCTAAAAATCTATTTTCATCTTTAGTTGTAACTTTTAGACTCCAAAAATGGTTCAAATCAAGTAAATATATAAATAAAATCTTGAAAATTGATAGTCCAAATAATATGTTGCAATATGCACTATTTTTGGGACTTGAAATATTTTCTTCTGTTTTTCATATCCATCCATCTCGATGTTGAGATGATTAATTAGAGTGTATCCCAACATTAAAACAGCCTTTTTTTCTTAGCTTTATGAGGTGCACGTTAATTCTACAATGATGTTGCAACCTTATATAAATTTTTTCATACATCTATATTGTTGAGGAAAAGTTACTGGTTAACCACTTCAAATCCAATTCCTCCTCAAGCTCATTTGTCCCCCCAAATGTCTTTTTTTTTTTTTTTGACTCGAAACACTACACAGACTACTGCAAATCCATTTTTGCCTCAAATCCATTTATACCTTAAATGCATTAGAGCTCAAGTCAGGTGATTTTTTAAGGATTGAAATGAATTATACATAAAAATCAAGATGATCGGCATGGAGAATTTATTTCATCCAAAATCAATCTCTACCATTAGGGGTGGTAATGGACTTGGACCAAACCTAGTTCGAGTATGGGTTAAAAAATTGGACCCGATGGGTCGGCTCTAGGTCCAAATATTGGACCTGAACACTATTCGGATCTGTGTCCATGTGGACCTGACTTGAACAGTGTTATTATTTAAATAATATTTAATTTATAATAATTTAATAATATTTAATTAAATATATCTATATATTTTAAGTTTTAATATATAAATAATTCATGTACATATTTAATATAATATTTAATTATATATTTTGTTTTTAGGTTGGGTCCAATCGCGTCCGGTTGGGTTAGGGTCCAATCGGTCCGAGTCGAACCCCCTACCATCTAAGGGGGGGGGACCTACTGCTACTGGACCTATTATGACCTAAATAGGGTCCCCCTACCATTAAGGGGGGGGGGGGGGCAGCAGGGGGGACCTACTGCTACTGGACCTATTATGACCTAAATAGGATAGGAGTTTTGGAGAGCCAATCCATGCACCCATTCAAGTGTGGCCCCCTTCAAAAAATTAATGTTTCAAATTTTTTTTTATTGTTGATAAAATCCATGTTCCATAGTTGAGATAGATTTTGGATCCAAAATCTCATAGAATTAGAGACTCAACCATTACAATCACGCAGACACATATAGACATACATTTTGAACTTTAAAAACAGTTGATCTTAAACTTTTATTTAAAGTATTTTTTTTTGGGTTAGTAACTTTTATTTGAAGTATTCATTTTAGATATTTGTGCTATTTGCTGAGCAGCAAAATCATGATCTAAAAACAGGATTACATTTGGAGTGACTTAGGATATGTTCCAAATTTTAAATCCATGAAAAGCTAAGATGGATTCATGCATCTGGAGACTGTAACTAACAAACATGCGAATAACAATATACCAGCAAATAAAAAATTAGTATTGAATAGATTTTGGTAAGAAAATACCAAAGGTAAAAAATCAAGGCAAAACATAGATCGCCAAATTTTAAGCAAGTTTAAAAATGTGAATAATTTGAATTTAGCTAAAAACAAAGTGAAAAATAAAAAATAAAAATAAAAGACATGTATAAATGACATGAAATAAATTTACAATGCAAAGGGAGCATGCATCGCAATGATTTCGCTGCGAGGACATAATAAGGTCATTCAATACTTTTATGGGGAATTTAGTAAAGGAAAATTTATTTATACATTCTATTTTGGTGTATCATTTTCTCATTGACCTACGGCTTTAAAAAATTTATGATGACTTAAGTTTTTTAAAAAATATATCTTCTAATTCGCTGGATTCAATTTATCAGGGAAATAAATAGATAGAGAAATAAAGACGTATAGAGATAGATGTTTGGTGGACAAATAGGGATGTGTTTTTAGTTTTTGTTTGGGCAAAAAAATGAGTAGTCAAAAAGGATAAATTTGGTCCAGAGAGTTAGAAGATATTTTTTTAAAAAAACCTCTGCCGCCATAAAATTTTTAAAACCTTGAATCTATAGGGAAATGGTACTCCAAAACAGGGTATATAGAGATATTTTTTCTTTAATAAAATAAACGCGATAGATAATCTATTTAACATTTTGCCCATTGATTTAATTTCAAATATCCCAACGACATAAATAGGACCTGAGTTGAGACAATTGAGAAAGGGCAAAATGTTAAATAGTAGACAGTTAAGGTACATTTTGACAACTCTCTAATGTATACTATCATTC